AGGGGAATCAAACTTACTGATCACTTTAGCAGTAGAGGTTGATACAGTTCATGTACCCTATTATAACATTCTCAGATGCAGTTTATCCTGTATGTTCCTGTATATCTTTTGGTGTTTGTGCTAGACCGGGCCGTTTCATTTTGATTCAAGTGCAAAATACAGAGTAATCCTCTGTACCTTTTTAAATGGCCAGAAAGAGGCAAATATTATGCCGTATATGAACGGGAACTATGCCATATATGGTTCTCTTGATTACTGCTTCTGAAATAATTAGCTTTGCCCTTGCCCTATTAGACGTTGATAACGGTAACACAAATTCCTGCGGATGCTTCTGCTTGTTTCTGGCTCTATTATTTCTTTTGCTTTGTTACACGATCGTTGAAGAGAAGAACAAACCTTCGTACATACATCATAACGGGACCCGATTATTCCCTGAGAAAAAGAAAAACAGAATTTCTGACTTGCGATCTTCTGAAAGTGTGGTTCAATGAGCAGCACCATCTTGTTATGAACTATTTGCCTTCCGAATTCCTATAAATAATATGTAGCAGGGTTCATCCAAAGAGCATCAGCCGGTTTGTAGATCAACTACTCTTCTGGTATGTTGCAACTCTGTAAAGACGACCATCCAATTAACTTATTTTCCCCTCTCGGTTCAAACCGTACTTACTTATGGCCGAACCTCATCTCTATGCGAGAGACGCCGCTGGAGCATAACATCGTCATATATAATGCATTTACGCAAGCCGAACGATCTAGTGTTAATCGACCTTACACTTTTAATTGAGCTCGTCGACGTTCGGTATCAGGTAAGAAAATTGTGTTACGTATATATGTTCCCAAAGAATGGGGAAAAAAAAGGGAAAGGAAAATATGGATGTCATCTTGTGGTATCTGTAGGCGTCAAAAAATACTGAAAGATATCCAAATACAGCTCAAGAAGAGATCATCCAAAGATCAAAAGAACACAAAGAACAGTGTAGACTGTCTCGGCACGCGAGGCAGTGTTTACTGTCTCGCCGTGCGAGACAGTGTTTACTGTCTCGCACGCGAGACAGCTCTTTGATTCAATGACTCTATAATTAGAGAAGAGACATCTGAGCAGAGAGGTTGCGAGTAGAATCCTCAGCAACACATCAAGCGACCGAGTCTTCTCTGGAGTGTTCGACAGAGTCGAAAACTTCAACCTTTAGAAGATGAAATCTTTCCTCGCATTTTGAGGCGAGGAAGATTTTGAAGGAGGATGACAGATATTCCTCAAACTTTGCTTGAGTCGATAGTTCATATTCACCCGTGGACTAACTCAGTATTCTTGATCGGTACGACAGACGGTCTCAGAGCAGAGACCGTGCTCACACTTTGGTCGACAGTTATGTTTTCGGTCAAAAGCTGAATTTTTATGAATTCATTATATCTTTCTTGTCGATTACACAAATTCAAAAATTAGTCTTTTTAATAAGAGCATTCTTATTACACACAAAAGGAATTATAACTTTTTAGAAAACAAACGCAGGAATCGTTGTTTGGATCGTGCTTGCGTTGGGATCTTTGCTTGTGGGGGTGCGTTAACGTGTGACCCGCCCAGATTCTGATTGATATTCGTGAAGGTTTTGCGGATCTTCACTTCGTTTATCGAGTATAGGAATTTGAAGTGAAGATCTTATCAATAAGTACGATCTGGTACTCTTTTAAGATTCCAAGTCAAAGACCGAATCTAAGGAATTGTCAGAAGCAAGTATCTGCCTTGTCTGCTCCAAATGCTCCAGCCTTCGCCTAATGATCACTAGGGGGATTATAGCCGCAGCCGAACAGTTAGAGGAAACAGTGCTCTCGAGAACAGCATTTGTTGCTGGGCTGCCATGTGACAGTGTTGCTGTCTCGGGCGGCGAGACAGAGTTTACTGTCTCGGGTTCCGAGACAGAAAGCTGTCTCGGAAAACCCAACGGCACCAGCCATTTCACCGTAACTGCTATCCACAGTTTCAAACTCCGTGTATTTTGAAGTTATCCACGTGATTCTCACCCCGACGCTTCCGCATGTTCTTGACAGTTAAGGACACGGTCGGCCAGTTAACAAAAAAACGGGGGGGGGGGACTTCTATCAATTCG